GAGAGAGAGAGAGTTGAGCGATACAAGATTGGTTGTGGTCCAAGAGGAAGTGGCGCCTATAGCCGCGGAGCTCGAACACGGAGTGACGAGGAAGGAAGGAGGAAACCTTGTCGGGGAAGAAGGAAGGAGGGACAACAAAGTTGAAGACAAACCAAGTCTAGGGTGAAAAAAAAAAAAAAAAAAAGAGAAGACAGAGAGGAAGGAAGAAGAAAGGGGCGAGATAGAAGAAAGGTGAAGAAGGTGAAGAGAAGGGGAGTTGGCGAGGAAGAAAGTGCCGGCAGCCGTAGCCGACTTAGGAGTTGACCAGGTGTTGATCAGAGAGTTGACCAGGGTTTGACCGTGTTGACCAAGCGTTGACCAAGGCGTTGACCGGAGTTGTTGACCACGATTTTGATAAAGCTGGAGTTGGTATAATCTCGCCAAGCCCTTAGCCTATCCTCTCGCCCTATGGATGTGCGCTTACCCTATGGTACTTGCTGAGTCTGAGTCTGTCCGTCTCTTCTTTCTGCATTGAGTCTCTTATGTCCAGGTGATAGGACTCCGTGTATGAAGGATAGGGCCTCGTTGACCAAACGCACACGGGTTGAGTAGGGCTAAAGTTTGTGTCTGACGACTCGACTGTCCCGGAGGACACGAACCCTCCCGAGGACCGGTACTGACCGGCGGGCTGCTAGGTGTGGCACGGTAGGCCCAAAATCCGAGCGGTGGGCTGCACAACGGGCCGTCTAAGTCTTGAGAGAACGTGCTGATCGCGTCGTCTTGTCTGCGACGTTAAAGAATTCCTGAGGAGTTACAGGGGATCTCCTTAAATGCCTCCTGATCAGCAATAGGTTCTGTAGTGACGGCTGTAGTTTAGAGTCTAGGCTAAAGACCATAATTGGCAGGGTTCTATAGAATCATGTGGTCCTTAGATCGAGTCGGTCTTAAGTTGGGTCAGTTAGGGGGAGAGTCTAAGCGGTGAGGAGTGGAAATGTCACTTGGTTGTGCGTCTATCACCATGGTTGGCACGCGTACAGGAACGAGCACTTCCCCTTACACAGCAGAACAGGGGGCGAAAGCCGCCGCCATCGTGAAAGAGAGAAGAGAGAAGAAGGAGGCCAAGAAGAGGGCCTTGCTGGAATAACAGGCGGTGAAGAAGAAGAAGATTGAGGAAGAGATGGCGAGAAAAATGGAGAGGTTGCAAAAGGAGGAAGAAAAACTCTGAGCAGTAGAGGCAGAAGAAGAGGTAGAAAAACAACCACTGGAGAGGATAAGGACAAGAGAAAGAGCAGGACCCAGTGGTGCAAAGGAAGATCCGTTGGAGAAGAAAATTACGGAATGGGTGGCCAATCTTTCCCTGGGAGAAGAGGAGGCATTGATGTATGTAACCAGGGAAGAGCAGGAGGCGGCCATGAAAGAGTGGGATGCAGAGGAAGATCCGCTCAAGCTGCAGGCAATCGAAGATGAGAAGAGGATGGAGTGGAAGTTGCGGCTGGTGAGGGAAAGGAAAAGAAGAGTGGACGCAGTGAGCCAGGCGGCAAGGGAATTGGAAGAAGTAAGGAAACAGGGAGAGCAGATGGCGGCACAGGCAGACCTGTTGGGGAAGATGCAGGTCATGGCGAGGAACATAGAGCGCCTGGCCCAGGTCCAAGAAGAGCAATATCAGTTTGGTAGGAGTCAGGACTTAGCCCTGCGATCTGTACAGTTGGGATTCAGGGGCTTTGCACGTGAGTCAGTGATGCAGGTATGCAGGTAGGCTCTAAGGTGAAGGCCCGCCTAGAGAACACAGAGCGATATTGCACGGGCGCCATAGAGGGCGCCAGGCTGGCTCCACCCAAGGAAGAAGAAGCACGTCCTCGTAGGGAGCCTGTCAAAGTGAAATGTCCCGACTCCTATAGTGGAAAGAAGGAGGAGAACTTTGACAACTGGAAAGCGAATATTAAGACGTGTGTGCACGTATAGAAAGTCACCCCAGATGAACACGTCTTGATAGCTATCCATGCTCTTAGGGAGGAAGCAGCAAGTTTCGCCCGTTCCCTGTGGCGCGCCGCTAATTGCGACGACGACTTAATTGCATATTCGGCATTTACCCCTCTCAACGATTTGCAGACGTTACCCGTAGTGTCAAAGCCTCTGATAAGCTGCAAACCATCCATTTGCGTCAGTGGAAGAGTGTCAGGGCACTCAAAGGTGTTATGGATGAGCTGGTCGTCGTCCCTGACCATGGGGTCACTGAGACCCAGTTAGTCAATCTCTTCTACCGCGCTATGCCCGAACAGTTACGCGGGCATTTCTTTGAAAAAAGTCAGCAGCCTACCGTGACCTATGATGCTTTGAGCAGGGAAGTGGTAGCGTTCGAAGCACGGTCCATGTCAGTCTCCACTTTCTGGCACAAGGACCTGGATAAGGGCAAAAGCTGGAAAGGTCGTACCATCTCGGGTCAGGTCAAGGCAAAGGATCGCCTGATCCTTACGCTGCTGTCGCGGTCGGAGGGAGGCTGCAACGAGGAGGTAGAGGCCAGGGCCAAGGGGGTCGGGCCTCAGGTGGTCATTCCCAGGGTGATCAGGGGGTTTGCAGTAGGGGAAACCGCCACGCGGGAGGCAGGGGTCAAGGTCCCCCGCAAAACCGTTCTGGGAATAGGTCACCAAATAGGGGTAATAGCTCACCCTATAGGAGAAGTGGTTGGCACCCAGGTCTACCACAGGGCCGAACTTGGGAAAATTTGTGCCTGGACCAACGCGTCTGGCAACAGCGTGTGGACCAGGGGGTGCATATATTGCGGTCACCCTGGCCACATCATCAAATATTGTCCAAAGTATAGAGAGGCCCGTTGGGCTGCCCAGGGGTCAAAAGGCAGCCGCCGGTAGGTGTTGCAACTGGCCCTACCATAAGGCCATGTGGGGAAACGAGCGCAAGCCGACAGAAAACTCCCACACCACATGCGCCTATGGCAGAGGTTGTAGGCCGGTGCCTAGATAGCTGTCCAGAGACTGCATTTGTCAGAGTCTCTTTAGGCACATCCCTCACAGGCGTGGCTGATGAGCTAAAGGAAAGAATGCCCGCCTGGGCCAAGATGAAGAAAGAGAGTAGAGGAGAACTAGTACTAGTAGAGGTAGAAGTCTTTAGGAGCAGAGTAGGGGCCCTCGTAGACAGTGGGGCCACTCGCAGCTATATTAGTAGAAAGGCGCTGCAAAAGTTAAAGTTGGGATTGGAAGTCCAAAAGTTAGCAGACCCCATAGTAAGTATCCTTGCTGATAATCGCACAATGCGAGTAGGGAGTCCAGGCGTACTTCCGCCTAGAGAAAAATGGGAAGGTGGAGAGAGTTCTCCATTCCTTGACTCTCCTAGTAAAGGATAACCTTCCCTTCGATATAGTCCTAGGAATGGACTGGGGAGAGGCAGAAGGGGCCACACTCCATTTGAGAGAGCATGAGTGTAGGCTCCCTAGCCCGTCAGGCGGGGTCAAGACTTCCCGTCTGTTTCATAAGGCAGGGGTAGATAACTCTCTGGCACACTGCTGCCTTAGCGCTCCTGCTTGTAAGGCTAGTGAAAAAGGAGCAGCTAGAAGAACAGGTTTTTGTGGCCTATGTTAACCAGTTACTGAGCCTAAAGAGGAAAAGCCCATATATACCACACGCCAAGTTGCTGGAAGAGTACACAGGTTTAGCTAAGCCGCCAACAGGGGTAGTCCGACAGCCCATCCAGCATCGCATTGAGATAGAGCCTGGCAGTAGGACTCCTAAAGGAGCAGTGTATCCGATGTCCCCGCGGGAGTTGGAGGAGCTGCGCAAGCAGTTAGATGAACTCTTAGAGAAGGGTTGGATTAGGCCCAGTTCGTCCCCATTTGGAGCACATGTTCTATTTGTCCCCAAGAAGGAGGCAGAGCTTAGTTGACTATAGATGTCTTAATGCTATTGCAGTGAAGAATGTGGAGCCACTGGCCCGTATAGATGATCTTTTAGATCGGGTGCAGGGTTGCAAGTACTTCTCGAAGATAAATTTGAAGTCCGGATATCATCAGATAGAGGTTCACCCTGGTGATCAGTATAAGACGACATTCCAGACTAGGTATGGGCACTACGAGTTCATAGTTATGCCCTTTGGACTAACCAACGCGCCAGCAACTTTTCAGCGTTGTATGAACGACTTATTTAGGCCGTGGTTAGATAGGTTTATAGTAGTCTACTTAGATGATATTCTAGTGTTTTGTAGGACCCTCTAGGAGCATGAGGGTCATTTGAGGCAGGTCTTGGAGAAGCTGAGAGAGGCTAACTTCAAGATCAACGCAAAGAAGTGCGAATGGGCAAAAACCCAAGTTTTGTATCTAGGCCATGTCCTAGCCGGAGACAACATTAAACCAGAAGATAGCAAGATCGCAGCGATTAGAGATTGGCCTACACCCTGCATGTTGACAGAGTTGCGGTCGTTCTTAGGCCTAGCTAACTATTACAGGAAGTCTGTGAGAAATTTCTCCACCATCGCTGCACCCCTTCCCATGTTACTAAAGAAAGAAACAATCTAGAAGTGGGACAAGGACTGCACGTCTGCCATGAAGAAATTGAAGCAGGCATTGATAAAGTACCCAGTCCTTAAGGTAGTCGATTCGTCCTTACCTTTCGTCGTCACTACTGACGCGAGCCAATATGGTATAGGTGTTGTATTACAGCAAGACGATGGCAGTGGATATAGACCCATAGAGTTCATGTCTACTAGGATGCCTTCGGAGAAGGTAGCAACATCCACCTACGAAAGGGAACTCTACGCTCTCAGGCAAGCGTTAAAACACTGGATGCACTACTTGCTTGGGAGGGACATCCGTTAAAATTGGAACGATACAGAGAAGGTTAGCATGGAGCCTGCGCAAGGATGACACACATAAATCGATAAATGGTCCAAAAAAAAAAAAAAAAAAAAAANGGTCCAAAAAAAAAAAAAAAAAAAAAAAAGGTAGCGCAGCAAACTGGCGATGAGCGCCCACTCAATATGGAAACCAAGAACACAGTTCAGGTACAAGTTCGCTTCAGAGGGCTATGGCGCATCAGCTCCTGTACAACTCCCTGTTCGTCACTGCGCCCCACTCTACTGTCCACACACCCTCAACTTAGGATCACCCTGGATATCCCACACGCGTCACACTGTACACACATGCACACACACACGCTACACTCTCCTATCAGCTATGGCGGCAATGGCTGCTACTACCCCTATCGCTATAGCTAAGCTCTCCTTCTCGCCCACTTAGTCTTGGGGTTCACTGCAGACCACCTCGCACAAGTCGCAGTGGCAGCGCTTCCGCATGGCTTACGCGGGAATAATGAATGGTTGGGCATTGCCTCTTGATTTATACTTTTGTAGCTCGTTGGTCTGCCCCTTTCCCATGCCCCTGGTGCACACAGTCCCACACGGTTTTTGCTTTACTGGAGTGAGACTGACTGGGATTGGGTACCGCTGACTCAGCACTAGTGTACTTCGCCACTTGCCCACTTCCCTCGGTCTACTGTGGGCAGTACCTGAAAGGCCACTTCCGAACCTTCCGGAAGACCGTGGACTTGGCGTTTCAGTATTGTAGCAGCTACGACCTTGACCCTTCAGGACTGTAGCAGCTACGACCTTGACCCTTCGAAGGAGCTACAGCTACGACTTCTAGAACTCACAAGGACTCCTATCCGACAGGTCTACAGATCGAACCCCTATAACCTACAGACCTACGACGACCTACCAACTATGGGGAAAGACACAGGTTGTGGGTTGAACTCCTGGGGTCGATACAGATATTGTACACAGGTAAGCTGAGGTCAAGGGATCGACCCCTGGGATCTGCATCGGCTACTGCAAAGGTGGAATCCGTTTCACTCTCTCCGGCCTAAATCCGAGGTCCTCCGAGAATATCTCAGTTCAAGGCCGGACCTTTGCCTTTCTTATCTCTCTTATAGGCCCTAACTACGTCGGGAGCTGTTTCTAGAAGTTCAGTTCTTGTAAACCAGCGGTCGTCTTTCGGTTCCTGATATGTGAATCGGACCTTGTACTGTTTCTGTGGACGACCTCTACCTCCTGTCTTGAATACATCCTCACCTACAATGCCCTCAATGTCATATCTCCCATCCATATCCGGAGGGATCATAAATCTGCTTGAGGGAAATTGTTGGCTTGTGACACACGGCAACAATTTTGATGCGTGAAATATGGGGTAGGTGTGGAGGTGTGTTGGGATCTCTACGGTGTAGGACGACCCATCCTCTCCGCCCTTGACTTCTAGAACTGGCCACGGTCCCCTGTATACTGGCAGTAACTTTTGCGAGATGTTCTCCTCAAGAGCAAACTCTTTGGACTTGACCCAGACTAAGTCGCCTACTTGGAACTGCGATGGGCGACGGTGCTTGTTGGCTTGCTCTATCATTCTATGCTGGGCCTTCCTGAGGTTCTCAACGACTGTAGCTAGTTCTTTCTCGTGTTGTATCGCAAACTCGCTGGTATCGGGCGGTAGCCTGTGAATCTGGTCCCGGTTAAGTCCCTCAAACGGTTTGCACGTGTAAAGGACTTGTGTAACTCGTTGGGAGTGCGACAAGTGGACAAGTGCACGCTGTTGTTATACGCACTGTCTACCTTGGGCAACATCTCGTCCCAATTGACTTGATCTGGTCTAATGTACATGCGCAAAACTTGTTGCAGGATTTTGTTCATCTGTTGAGTCTGACCGTTAGTCTCTGGATGACGGCCAGATGACATCAGCAACTTTGACCCATAAACTTTCATCTGTTCCTGCTTGTTTTGACTCGTAAAACGAGTATCTCTATCACTAACGATGGACAATGGGACTCCATGCTCACTAACCAGAAATCAAAAAACTTCTGAATGACTAGCTCAGTACGAGCTTTTGCGGGTAATGGAACAAAAACAACATACTTACTGAATCTATCAACTATGACCATGACTTGGCTCTTACCATGCCTGCTCTTGACGCCGGCATCCATAAAGTCAATGGACACTGAATCTCCTGGCTGATCAGGAATAGCAAGGGTTTGAGAAGACCTAGAGGAGCACGCGTAGTGGTCTTATTTCTTTGGCAGACTTTGCAACTGCGGACGTACTTTATGCAGTCGTTCTTCATCCCCGACCATGTGTACGCATGCATCAGGTCGGTGAGAGTTTTTTGCCAACCGAAATGTCCCTCTTTATCATGGCATTCCCCTAGGATCAAACTACGGATTTCCTCATTGTTGGGAACGCACAAACGGTCTACTAGATTAGTCTTCTCAAATAACAACCCCTCTGCAGTGCGATAATCTGGTTCAGTCGTTGGGGCCTCCTTAACTCTCTTGAGGAAGTCGCTATAAATAGGGTCCTGTGCATACGCCTGTCTTACTTTCTCTTGCAGGTATGTCACTATATCTTGATAGTGGACTATAGCTCCAAAGTAGTCTGATCTCTTAGAGCATCCACAACTACATTGTACTTGCCCTTGACCGGTTTGAGCTCGAAGTCATACTGGTCTATCTCAGCGGCCCACCTAGTCAACTTCGGTGTCATTTTGGCCCGTGTCTTCAACCACCTAAGAGTTTCGTGGTCTGAATACACTTTGAAGTGCCTCTCAAGCAGGTAATGTTTCCAGTGTTCTAAGGCCTGCCTAAGAGTGTAGAGTTCTCTCTCGTAAATCGAGGTAGCTACTTTTTTTTAGGGCATTCTTGCTGATATGAACTCTACGGGTCTGTAGCCATTGTCGCCGTCCTCCTGTAACACGACCCCTATTCCATACTGACTCATGTCCGTGGTGACGGCAAATGGCAAGGACGGATCTGCTACTTTGAGGACAGGATACTCTATTAACGCGCGCTTTAATTTCTTTAGCGCATACAGACAGTCTTTATCCCACTGCCAGATTGCCTCTTTCTTGAGCAACCTACGAAGGGGAGCGGCGATAATCGAGAAGTTCCTCACAAACTTCCTATGGTAGTTAGTTAGGCCTAGGAACGACTGCAACTCAGTCAATGTGCGGGGCGTCGACCAATCTCTAATCGCCGCTATCTTGCTGTCCTCAAGCTTAATGTCATCTCCGTCTAAAACGTGGCCCAAGTACAAGACTTGATTCTTGGCCGATTCATACTTCTTTGCATTGATCTTGAAGTTAGTCTCTCTCAGCTTCTCCAAGACCTGCCTCAAATGAACCTGATGTTCTTGGAGAGTCCTACTGAATACTAATATATCATCTAGATAAACTACAACAAATTTGTCTAACCATGGCCTAAACAAATCGTTCATACAACGTTGGAATGTGGCAGGCGCATTTGTTAGTCCAAAGGGCATTACTATAAACTCATTGTGCCCATATCTAGTCCGGAATGCAGTCTTGTGCTGGTCATCAAGATGAACCTTTATCTGATGATACCCGGACTTCAGGTCGATCTTCGAAAAATATCTGCAGCCCTCGATCTAGGAGATCGTTTATCGTGGGCAATGGCTCAGCGTTCTTTACTGTGATCGCGTTTAGACCCTTGTAATTTATGCACATCCGCAACTGTCCTTCCTTTTTGGGGACAAACAAGACTGATGCTCCAAAAGGAGATGAACTGGGCCTAATCCAATCCTTTTCGAGGAGCTCGTCCAACTGCTTACGCAACTCCTTTAACTCCCTTGGGGACATCCTGTAGAATGCTCCCCTAGGAGTCCTACTGCCAGGTTCTACCTCTATACGATGTTGAATCGGCCGCGACACTACTCCGATCGTCGGCTCTGCTAAATCCCTCTTCCGGTAGCTTGGCAATGGTTGGATCTATGGGTGTGTCCTCCTTAGGCTCAGTGACAGACCTTACATAAGTTACGAAGACCTGTTGCTCTTAATGCTCCTTTTTAACTAATCGCGTGAACGCGGGAGCACTGAGATAGCAATGTGCCAAGGAGTTATCTACTCGTGACACATGGAACAGGCAGACCGTTGTCGGGACCGGTGGGTCCCGAATAACATCCCGTCACTCGAGAGTCTGTATATAGCCAATCTGTGCACGACAGAGAAATCTGGAGTAAGGAGACAAGAGAGAGAAAAGACAAGGGCCTAGGCCACCGGAAGGAACGATGCCCTGGGTTGAGAACCACAGGGGGAAAGAACCAGCGACGGCAAGCAAGTAAGCGGGGGGACACGGGCGCATAGGGGCGTAGCATGAGGCCAGGAGGGCCACAGAGATTCAGCATGACTAAGGCCGAGGGGCCGTCAACTTGCAAATGCGGCGCGACGGACGACGAAAGAATAAGGCAGCCGGGAGGTGGACGGCCCCGGTGACAGTGGGATGCTAGGAAATAAGGGGCCAACGTGAGGGCCGCCCATGGGAATCAGCGAGAGCCTCGGATTGGAGGCCCCACGGTCAGAGAAAGTCAGCGCGCGCGAGGCCCGAGAAAAGACAAGAGGAAGGGGTCGCCGTGAGGCGGCGGACGCCCGAAGAACGTAGGACACCTTGAGGGAAAGGCACCAGGGGCCACGTGGGACTAAGTAAAAATAATGGTATCCGGGACGAAGTATGTCGGGGACCACCTGCGGGACCAAGTGTCAGGGACCGTCGACGGGACAAAATGTCGGGGACCACCAGCGCGACGAGTACCGGCGGGACCACCGGTGGGATAAGTGTCGGGAACTAGCGTGGGACAAATGGCGGGGACATGAGAATGCCGTGGCCAAAGAACTATGAAGCGGCACAAGGGGAAAATAATTAAAACGAGGTGCACCGTCAAGATCAAGATCTTGACGGTCAAAAGTATTAGCACCAATAGTGCAAGCACTAGTGAGAGGAAGTGGGGAGGCCCAAAAGAAAAAGAAAAAGTAAAGAAACATGTAGAGGGAGGCATGGGAGCAATCCAAAAAATCTCGGATCGGCCTCCCCCAAGAAAATGGAGTCTAAAGAGACTTCGTGTGGAAAATAGGCCTCCGGGAGAAAATCGGACTATAGGGACCCACAGTTTGAAAAAAATAAAGGTGAAAGGAAGCTCCCATGGGCATGAGGAGGTCATTATTGCAGTCCGAGATATAACGGACTGCCCCTTGAGCATAGGAAAGGCCAAAACTAAGAGGAAGGGCCTAGAAAAGGGCCTTGACGGCTAGTTGACACTTGGCATGCTAGAAAAAGAAAAGAAAAAAAAAGAAAAGAAAAGAAAAGTGTGGGAGAATAAGATAAAAAGAGTGAGAGGAAGAGAGTGAGTTGGTCGTCAGTAGGGACTGCCACAAGAAGGAACTGGCAGGTCCCTACTGTCCAAGAAAGGAGGAAGAAGAAAAGAAAAGAAAAGAGAAAAGAAAAGAAGAGAAAAGACAAATGGGGCACTAACGGCCAAAAATGGTCACCTAGGGTGATGCATTCGTGACCAGATTCATTATGGCATATGTCCGTTACAAAGTATCTTGATTTTTTTTTTATTTTGCAGAGAAAATCAAGAAAAATCAAGGCCCCAAGCAGCCGAAATACAACGGATTACATGGGGGAGGAGAAACACATGTTTTTAGGTGCATCCGGAGCCAAAATTGACCCCGGATGCGCTAAGGAGTTGGCCATTTCTTTTTCCTTTGGTTGAGGGCTAGTTGTGGGGCATTGGGGCTAGCGAATTGACCCCTATTGCTGTCCGAGTTGCAACGGACTGCATGAGGAAGGAAAAACACATGTTTTAGGTGTATCCGGAGCCAATATTGAGCCCGGATGCACTTGGGAATTTAACACTTCATTTTCTTTTAGTGTGGGGCAAGTTGTGGGACTAGGGAAATGACCATGATTGCAGCCGAGAAATAACGGACTCAATGGGGATGCCTAGGCTAAGGGAAAATGAGCCACGACAAGCCCAAAAGGTTAGAAAGAAGTGATTTCGGCATGAGGCAAGTAAAGATGGTAAACAACAACCGTGAGATTAGATCTCACGGCCAAGAAAAATTGGCACACATGCGGCACCTAAGGAAGGGATATTGGAACAACCAAGGGCAAGGAGGTCCCAAAATAAAAAAAAATGGGACACCGTCCGGGATGTTGCTGGGGACTAAGTGGACTCAAATAATAATAGTTGAAAAATGGGACACGCGCTGGCGGGACTACCGGGGGGACAATAAAACGGAACTAGTACGAAAGAAAGTGGTGGGGACTTAAGATGTCCCAAGGGAACCATGCGCCAACGCAAGAAATAATCGCACAAGCAAACGGCACCATCGAGATTACCTCCAGGATGTAGAGTGTACTTTTCTGTACGCGGGAGGGGACTTGAGGCATCGTGTCTCGTTCCTAGTGAGTGATGAACTCCCCATGGACATGTTGTTAGGTATGTACTACCTCTCTGTGGCACAGCCCCAGTTCGACTGGGACCGAAAAGTGGTCAAACACACTTTGCCAGGTGGAGGGACCGCCAGATTACATAAGTTCAAAGCTAGTAGTCTGATTGAGTCCTACGGGTGCATGTGTGCGGCCGCGTTCTACAATTACTATAAGCAAAATCAAGAGGAGGGTATGTACTTAGTTTATGTCTCTGCTGCAGGCGAGCCAGTGAAAATGCCGCCGGAGATAGAGGGAGTGGTTGCCAAGTACCCTGATCTATTTGAAGAGCCAACAGGGGTTGTTGATAGGGAGGTCGTCCACGCGATAGAGATTATCCCAGGGTCTAGTATTCCGAAGGGTAGGATCTATCGGATGTCTCCAGGCGAGCTTGATGAGCTTCGCCGCCAACTCAAGGAACTCATAGAGAAGGGTCGGATCCGGCCGAGTGTATCTCCTTACGGATCTCCAGTACTATTCGTACCTAAGAAGGAGGGCACTCTCAGGATGTGCATTGACTATAGGGGCCTCAATGCCATCACTGTGAAGAACAGAGAGCCCCTACCGCGCATCGATGATCTGTTAGATAGAGTGCAAGGGTGTCGGTACTTCAGTAAGATAGATCTGAAGTCCGGGTACCATCAGATTGCAATCCGGCCCGAGGATCAACACAAAACCCCATTTCAGACCAGGTACGGTCTGTACGAGTTTGTGGTGATGCCTTTTGGCCTTTGCAATGCTCCTCGCACCTTTCAGCACGCTATGAATTGGATATTCCATGAGTACTTGGATAAGTTTGTCGTCGTGTACCTCGATGACATACTTATTTTTAGTAAGACTGTCGAGGAGCACGTAGCACACTTAGACAAAGTTCTCAGTCTCCTGCAACAGCACAAGTTCAAGATCAACGGTGAAAAGTGCGAGTTTGGCCGCACCTGTATCTTGTACTTGGGTCATGAGATCTCCGCGGAAGGATTGAAGCCCGATGACGCGAAGGTGGCCAGCATTCGCGATTGGCCACGTCCTCAGTCTGTGACTGAGATGAGATCTTTCTTAGGAATGACAGGCTATTATAGAACTTTTGTGAAAAACTATAGCATAGTGGCCGCTCCTTTGACTGATCTGACCCGCCTTGACACCCCATGGGAGTGGACAGATAAGTGCAAGGCTGCTTTCAGACATCTGAAGCATGCATTAACGCACTATAAGTCTTGAAACTTCCTGATCCTGACAAGCCGTTCATAGTCACCACGAATGTCAGCCAATACGGCATTGGCGCCGTGCTCGCGCACCAGGAGGGGCCAAAGTTGAGGCCAGTTGAGTACATGTCTAAGAAAATGTCGTCTCAGAAGTTGGCTAAGTCCACTTATGAGAAGGAACTCTATGCGGTGTACAAGGCTCTCACCCATTGGAGACACTATTTCCTTGGGAGGTTCTTCATCCTCAAAACTGATCATCAGACCCTGAAATGGATGAGAACCCAGCCGGTACTCTCTGACGCTCTCGAGCGTTGGATCGAAGTCATTGAGCAATATGACTTTGACCCTCAATATCTAAAAGGGGAGTATAACAAGGTTGCTGACGCCCTGTCGCGCAGACAAGACTTCTCAAGTGCGCTGATTACTGAGTTCAGTCTCACGGACAATGTTACTCAATCTTTGGTGGAAGCCTATCGCGAGGACCAGTTTATATCTGAGATCATACGCAGACTTGAGGCGAAGGACAAGAAGACGTCCGTCGAGTTTGAGTTGGTTAATGGCTTGCCGTTCCTTGAGAAGGCAGGGAATAAACGATTGTGTGTTCCCAATAGTGAGTCTTTGCGTAGTTTGTTTCTAGGTGAGTGTCATGATGCCACCGGTCATTTCGGGTATAAGAAGACCGCAGCCAACTTGCTGCAGTGATTCTGGTGGCCCACGATGATGCGAGATGCACAGCTGTACGTGGAGACTTGTCAAGTTTGTCAACGGGACAAGCCCCGTACTCAGGCTCCTCTTGGGCTGCTCAAGCCCCTTCCGATTCCGGAAAGGCCAGGTGAAAGCTTGTCCATGGACTTCATGGATACGCTGGTCACCAGCAAGAGTGGGATGAGGCAGATCTTCGTCATCGTGGATAGGTTTAGTAAGTATGCTAGGTTAATAGCCATGCCGGAAACAGCGAAGACCGAGTATGTAATCAGGCTGTTCAAAGAGAACTGGGTGAGGGATTTTGGATTGCTTAAGTTTATTGTAAGTGACAGGGATGTCAGATTTACAAGTGAATTATGGAAGGCCGTTGCAGCTGAACAAGGAACTCAACTGCAAATGACTTCTGGAAACCATCCAGAAGCAAACGGCCAGGCAAAACAGATGAACCGCGTTGTTCAACACCTGTTGAGGCATTACATTAAGCCCAACCAGGTGGATTGGGACGAGAAGCTTGCTCTTGTCGCCAGTCTGTACAATAACGCTGTACACAGCGCTACCGGGGTAAGTCCTAACAGTCTACATCTTACCTTTAGGCCTAGACTGCCTTTAGACTTCCTACTTCCTGATAACCAGCCAACTGTTACACCAGACACTTTGGAGTTCGCTTATGGTTACGAACAAAAAATGCAGGAGGCTGTAGAGCACATGCAGAAGGCGCAGGCAGCAATGATAGAATCTGAGAATAAACACCGCCGCCATTCTACATTTCAGGTTGGGGACAGAGTCTGGGTCAAGTCTTCAGAACTGGGACAGGAGTTCGGGATATCCCGCAAACTCATGCCTCAGTACTTTGGACCTTGGGAAGTTTTAGACGTAGTAGGGATAGATCCAGATGGCCCATCTTATGTCATCCGTATCCCTGGTCATCTCAGAACTCACCCAGTCTTTCAACCCTCTAAGCTCGCCGCATCCAAGGAAACTGATCAGTTTCCCTCTCGTCGGTCAATGCTGCCCCCAACCATGGACGGAGAAGTCGACATCGATGAACAATTCCTACACTCTCATTTTCTAGATTCAGTGTCATCGACCACAGGGAGATGCTTATTCAGAAGCCTCCAGGAAGGGGACATCCTCCAAAGCCAAAGCTGCAGTTTCGTGTCCACTTCATACACCACACAGATCCGAAGGAGGACCGCTGGTTTAGTAGGGAGGAATTGATGTCGACCGCTCCTCAAGTCGTAGCCCACTATGAGAAGGATGTATTGAAAGGAAAGCGCCAGATGGCTCAGGATTGATCTTCTCAGAGGACTAACGAAGATATGGAGGAGGGAATGCGAGGCTACGCCCGCTCAGCCCCCTCGGGGCCTTTTTTGCAGTATGTCGGCCAGTGAAGGTAGGCGAGACAGGCCCTCAGGGCCTCGATTTTCAGGGTACCCCGCAACTGGTGAAATTCAGACAGTTGCGCTGCGCCAGTTGGTTGAAGGCGCCCAGGCCCAGGCCATATTTTGCAAATGTATCTGAATGGGGACCTGGGCCAGACTCGTGGAAAAGGCCGTGAGCAGGCCAAGGGCAGTTGGGCACATGTAACCATCAGGCCCTGGGCCTGCGTGTGAGGTCTGGGCCTGTGCCTACCGGGGCCTACCGGAATCTTCCTGGACTGGACGCAGGCAGGCCACTTCGATATAGGGAAGGGCCTGCCTCCTCATTCGGCATTTGGGTGCTGGTTGCATGCTGCGCGAGCGCTGCTGCGCTATTTGCTGGCTGGCTAGCACTCACGCTCTTACGGGCGAGTAAGAAGTAGCGGGCAGCCATAGCCGAGCTGCTCCGCTGTGAGCTGGCTGTGACGCAGGGTGGTCCTCGGGTGCAAGTGGCATCTGTGTGGTGTGGATCGGGGTTGTGAGTGTTGCGAGAGACATACCTGGTGCTGGAAGCGTGCGACATTGTCCGCCGTATGCTCGTACTTCGGGGAGCTGTTGTCGTCAACATCGGCATTGTAGTATTAGGCTAGATAGGATCTGCCACAAGTAGTCTGGGCGCCGAGCGCCAATAGGATATCAACTCTTGTTCTTTGTTGATGATGATGAGAGACTATTTCAGCATTGTCAATTACGAACTATTGGTGTGTTCTGATTTGGTGAAACTCGTGATGCATGACTGTTGTTGGTTCGAGGTTAAGACTATCTGGACACATATGTATGATGTTGTTTGATTGTTGGAGTTCGCTAATGCTTATCTTCCTTTCAAATGGAAGAAGAAGAAGCGAAGGAAGAAGGTGAAGAAGAAGAAGGAGGGGAAGAAGAAGAGGAAGAAGAGGGAGAAGAAGAAGAGGAAGAAGGAGAAGAGGAAGAGGAAGAAGAAGAAGAAGAAGAAGAAGAAGTAGAAGGCGAAGAAGACGAAGAGACTCATTTCTTCCCTCCACTCGCCTCTTCTTGGGTCTTGGAGTTGATGCACTAGTCTTGGTGATGCTTCTCCCCACTTGGCTATGGCTCTCTTCTTCCTCAAACCTCTCTTACTTCCCCCTCTCAGTCTCTCCCAAGCTGCAACAAGCTCCTACCTCTATGGCTGTGGAGTCCTCCCCTCTAGGAGGGCTAATAGAACTCCCTCTAGCCTTGCCTTCTTCCTCACAGTCTGGGGGCTATAACGGATTACCCTCCTAGGCTAGCCTCACTACCACTAGCCTCTAGAGCTTCACTCACTAACTCACAATCCTCTCTAGGCTCTCAAACTGGCAGGGGTTCCCCTCTCCTCTCTCCAGGTGAATTTACTGCTCCCATGGGCTCATCTCAGCAGCATGGAGACTCCTCATGCAAATGCGAGTGTGGCGGACTGAATCCCCAACTTATGTAGGCTGAAACCAACAATCCGGCCAGCCCATTGGCCTCTCAATGTGCCTTGAGGTGAACCGAGGTACCCCTAAGGCAAAATTCCACCACTAGGCCCTTCCGGGGGTACCTGGGCCTCATTTTGGCCAAGTACATGCAGTCCGAGTGGCTGGTACCAACTCGGACTGCCCCTTGGGCCTCTTCAAGCCTCATACCGTTTGAAAAATGTTGCCCCCTTGAGTCCAAAGGCCCAGGGGACAGCCTGACTTGAAACAAAAAAACCTCGTAGGCCTTTTTCTGATTTTGGCCTGCCTTGGGTACGCCGAGATATTTTCCCATGTGGCGGTGCATTTTCAGCCTTGGATCTGGCTGAGATCCAAAGGCAACAATATTTCGAGCTACCCCATGGTGGTCCTTGCTTCAGTTTTGGGCCCCTAAGTTCAATTTTTCAACTTTTGGTGCATTTGGCTCTCTTTTTGGGCCAAATGTACATTTTTGTCTCTTTCCCTTTTTTGTTTCTTTCCATTTTGGGCTGCCAACTTATTTTGGAGCTAGCCGTTTTGAGCTGGCCTACGAAAAACAGCTAGTTCCTCTCTACCCTGAGATCTGATCTCAGATCTATGATCCATAAAAAGAAAGATCATCTCCCTTTTGCAATTTCTCTTATTTTTCTCTTTTTAATTAAGATTTTATAGAGATATGGCCCCAAGGGTCGTATCTCTGCAATTCGGATTGCCCTCCCTTATTCTAGGAGGGACGAGGCCACAGTTGGGACCTGCCAGTCCCTACTGTGCAGGTCCCAATAGGCCGGCACATTCTCCTCCACTCTTTTCTCCCCTTTTGTCTCATTGTCCCTCCATTTTCTCCCATTTTTCTTTCTTTTTCTTTTATTTCTGCTGTGACAAGTGTCAAACAGCTGTTGAGCCTTTTTCTAGGCCATAGATCTTCATCTATGGCCAGATTTATGCCTGACAGTTGACCGTTATCTCTCGGATTACCATAATGGCACCCCCATGCTCCTAGGGGGCTTCATTTTTCCCTTTCGGGCCCCCTTTGCTCCGATTTTCCTTGGACAACCTTTTTCTCATATTGGACCCCTTAAGGCTCTATTTTCTTATGCCTAGCTAGTCCGTGATATCTCGGACTGCTGGGCAACCCTCCCCACACCATTATTTCACTTTCTTTTCTCTCATGACTCTCCCACTTGTCCCCACTAGTGCTTGCACTAGTGGTGCTAATATTTTCCACCGTCTAGATCCTCGACAACCATGCGCTATTCGTTGGCACAGGTCGACTCCACAGGTCGACTCAGGCGCTGCACTCGCCCCTGTAAGTGCAGTCTCTCAACGCACGCGCGACTAATAAAGTTTCGTGTCGAGCAAGTGTCATAATAGGCCCCGGCCTTGCGGCCGCCAATAACAACCTCGCTGAYGAACWYCTCACCCTTAGGAGCTTTGACTAAGGYCGTCCAAGAAGCTAGCGGGTCKARTCTAGACCACTCCACCTCTAGCTCCTCTAAGGACTCAAACACATTCATCGAACAGAGGGTCGATGGGTCTGAATGTGCTTGCGGGACGACTGAAGAATCAGTAGCTTGGGCCATCTCTCGCGAAGGTGAGGGTGTATCCACCACCGTGACCCTAGTAGGAACAAGTACTATTCCTATTGGGCCGACGTGTTTCCCGGAGTGGTGCTTGAAGAACTGGCAACGTTGCTACCAACGGGAGTGGAAGATCCTACCGCCGGCCCCATCGTAGGCGGGATTTTCTCGGTGACCTTCCTGTTTCGGCACTTGTACATGCTATGGCCATACTGACCACACTTGATATAAGCTTGCCGGGCCCACCGATCTCTCCACACGTCCTCTGATAGACCCGCTTGCCGGGCCCATCGATCTCTCCACACGTCCTCTGTTTGACTCTTCGACCGGGATCCCCTAGGGCGTCGACCGGTCCCTTTACCTTTTTGCGCTACGGCAGCGACCACTCCACCCTCTGAAGCGTCTAAGCTGCCTGCCTCTGAACCTACACCCTCCTGGAGGTTGCCGTCCAACTCGATGGTTGAACCATCGTTGTCGACAAACATTAAGCGACCCTTCGCCTTCCAGTTAGGAGGCAGTGTCTTCTTTCTCCCTTCCGTAGTGGGTGCTTGTCCATGCCCTATCTTTGCTTCCAGGTCTAGGGCCACCTTGCTAAACTAAGGAAAGTTGTGCATATTGATGTTGGCCTCTTTTGCCAACTGGTTCCTGAGAGGCTGTGAAAAACATCTCAGGTACGAAGTCAACAGGACCTGAGGATCATAGCGTACCCCAGGTACACAGATCAAACGCTCTACAGCGTCGGTGGCCTCCCTTACTGACTAACTGCCGCGTGTGCAGTTTAAGGATCACGCCAGTGGACCTTCGAGCCTCCTGAGGATCATGCCACCTTTCTTCCACCATCTTTAGGAAGTCCTCCAATTTCTGGGAGGCTGCCCAAGCGCGGAAGTCGTGACCATATCCCTGAAGTTGAACTAGACCGCTCAACCATCTCGCTGCACTACCCTCGACGTAAGAGGCAGCCACAAGCCCTTTATTCGTGAGGCAAGGTGAGTTTGCACCTGACGTAGACCGGCACTGCCCTCAACCATGTGTCGAGGTCCTCGCCTCTCTTGTCTCCTGTAAAAGGTTTAGGAGCGGCGATGGCCGTCTTTGGAACCCACAGTGTTTGTCCCGGTCCCTGCATCATTCCAGGCTGTGGA